TCCCATCCCTATCCCTGTATATACTTGTATATAGCCTGGGGTTAGAGGTTCCTTAATAAATGTTGTTTGGAGTGGACAGAGGCTCTGCAGCCAAAGATAGGGCTGGGCGTCGCTCCAGGGGTATTGCTAGGATGAGAGCGGGCAGTGAGCGCTGCTGAGGGAGCGCTAAACTAGAGTATGTTTACTCTTTCCCAAGAGCAAGTCTGCATAAGGCAGATTTCATTAGTAAGGGCCTGAGACTGCAGTTCTCAACCTGTGGGTCGAGACCCTTACACAGGGGTCACTTACGACCATGGGAAGACATGTACATTACGATTCATAACAGCAGCAAAATTACAGTTATGAAGTAGCAATGAAAATAATTTTATGGTTAGGGTCACCACATGAGGAATTGTATTAAAGGGTCGCAGCATTAGGAATGTTGAAAAGCAGTGCTTTAGGGACTATGGAAAATGCCTCTATAAGATCCAGTGGAGCACTCCTTAATCCCAGCACTTGGGAGGCAGAGGCAGGCGGATCGCTGTGAGTTCGAAGCCAGCCTGGTCTATAGAGCGAGCTCCAGGACAGGCTCCAAAGCTACACAGAGAAACCCTTTCTTGAGAAAACAAAACAAAAAAAAGATCCAGTTGTAAAGCTGGGCATGGTGGTGTAAGCCTTTAATCCCAGTGAGGCAGAGGCAGGTGGATCTCTGTGAGCTCAAGGCCTGCCTGGTCTACATGATGAGAGTTCCAGCCCAGCAAGGACTACATACTGAGACCTGGTCACAAAATAATAATAATAATAATAATAATAATAATAATTTTAAAATGGGCTGAAGAACTGGTTCAGCTATTAAGAATGCTTACTGCGGGGGCTGGAGAGATGGCGCAGAGGTTAACAGCACTAGCTGCTCTTCCAGAAGTCCCGAGTTCAAGTACCAGCACCCACATGGTGGCTCATAATCATCTATAATGAGATCTGGTGCCCTCTTCTGGTGTGCAGGCAAAAACAATATGTACATAATAAAATTAAAAAAAGAGAATGCTTACTGTGCCAGGCGTTGATGGCACATGGCTTTAATCTCAGCACTCAGGAGGCAGAGGCAGGCGGATCTCTGTGCATTCGAAGCCAGCCTGGTTTACAGAGTGAGTTCCAGGACAGGCTCCAAAGCAATACAGAGAAACCCTGTCTCGAAAAAAAAGAATGCTTACTGCTCTTGCAGAAGACTATAGTTTCAATTCCCAAAACCCTCATGGAAGCTCACAACTGTCTCCAACTCCAGTTCCAGGTTATCTGACGCCCTCTTCTGACTTCAAGGGCTACTGCATGAATGTGCTACACACACACTCAGGTACACACACATATACATAAATACTTTTAAAACATACAAACTAGCAGGGTAGTGGTGGCGTATGCCTTTAATCCCAGCACTTGGGACGCAGAGGCAGGCGGATCTCTGTGAGTTCGAGGCCAGCCTCGTCTATAAGAGCTAGTTCCAGGACAGCCTCCAAAGCCACAGAGAAACCCTGTCTTAAAAAACTGGAAAACAAAACAAGAACCCAAACCAAACCAAACCAAAAACATACAAACTGAAATAAATACAATATGAAATACTTACCTCACTTTTCTTCTTGAAAAACAGGTCTCACTGTGTATCCCAATCTGCCCTCGATCCTCCTGCCTCAGGCTCCTGAGTGCTGATTCAGGATCTTAAGTGGGTCCGGCTGGCCTCAGTTTCGATAGGTGGCAGAAGATGACCTTGGGATCCAGATCACCCTGTCTCCATCTTTGAGTGCTGGAATTCCAGCTGGGCACATACCACACACTCATTTGTTTTTCTGTTTTGCTGATCTTGTATCAGCCTTAGTGTCTCGTGTCATGTGCTGGCCTGCAAGGCTGCCCAGAGGCCTGTGTGTGCAGGGAACCCTTGAGAGAGCAAGGACAACATACCCATGGCTGCCAGCTAGTCAGGTGCCACTGTCCACTGACCATCAGTCTCCCTGAGTGCACATACAGTCCTGGGCTTACTCCAGTGTCTCTGGGCTTGGGATTCAGAGACAAGGAGTCCACAGCCCAGGGAATGTTTGCAGCTTCCTTAGGGTAAACCCATCAGGAAGGGGGTAGAGCCCACTTGGGACCTCACCAACTTTGGCCTATGGGCACACATATTTTTGGACCACAGTTTCCTTAAACCAAGAAATCCACCTGGCTTTTCCACCCAGGTGCTGGGATTAAAGGTGTGTGCCACCATGCCTGACTAGCTGAACATTTTCTGGTGTGTGAACTGGATTCACTGTAACTAGGTGGGTGTGTCCTGAGTTGGATTTGTCTGGACCACTTCTCCCCATCCTTTGACTAACAGACATCAACGCTTGGTCTGATGAAACAGCAGCAAAACAAGAACTGCTCCCAGGCCAGTTCCCTCTCTACTTCTCTGGCCACACAACTCCGCAGACATGTCATTGTGATGGTTACTGAAGAGCATGCCCACATCGTCCATCCTCTGCCACAGAGGAAGTGCTTATCAGCCCCCCAGGGTCCCAAGTCACATTCCAGGGTGAAGAAGGATTCTGGAGCCGATGTCATGGAGTGTTGCTGCAACCCCAGATCTTTGGAGGCTGAGGCAGGAGGATCTGGATTTCTAGGTCAGCCTGGTCTGCACAATGAAATTCTGTCTCAAAAGAGGAGGGAGAAGGGCAGAGAAAGAATGGATGGAGGAAAAGTGAGGAGGCGAGAAGAGGGAGGAGGAAGAGAGAAGAAGAGGAGGGAAGAGGAAGGAGGAGGAAGAGGAGGGAAGAGGAAGGAGGAGGAAGGGGGGAGAAGAGGAAGGAGATGGTGGCTTTTAACCCTCAGCGTAGCTGTCAAATCCTGTGTTAATTACTCTCATCTTCTACCTCACTCCTGACAGGTGTAGCTCAGGGATTCTAGACTATGGGATAATCTCTCTAGACAATTGTTCTGAAACTCAGAAGCTTACTAGACCACAGGCCACAGCTAGTAAGTCGGGGAGATACTTGTATGCGTGTACACCCCTCAACACACACTCACACGGCTTTCACAGTGGGCTTACTGAAAACTGCAGTGTGTGAACGAACAACACAGTTCAGTCAGGAACAAGAGGCACCAACCACTGAAAATACTTCAGTTACAGGTTTTACTGAACTATAGCCAGGCACCAAACGTCATCGCAACAGGTGTGATATGCAAATTAGGATTCCAAATCAAAGAAGAGGGACTTTTATTTTATTAAACTGTATTAAACTGAAACGTGTTAAGAGTCTGTTTTCATTTCACAACCTATTAGGACTGGAACATTCTAGGTCTCCACACAGCGAGGGTACAGGGGGGCGGCCAGATTTCCATTCCTTCTTTTTCTCTTCCGGCACCTTCTCTGCATCTTGACACTCTCTCGGACTTCCCAGGGCAGGGGTTTCAGGCTCCAGTCTTTGTCTCCCTCACGTTGCCGAGGCTCCTGAGCCCTGCTGTGCTTCCTTCTTGCTTAGCTTCATGATGGAGAAGAGCTGCTCACAGATGTGGGTGCTGCTGAACATGGACAGCATCTTGGCACAGTGGCTCCTGTATTTGGGGTAGCTGCTCCAGAGGTGCTTGTAGAAGTCCGGGATGCCCACCTTGTCGTACTTTGTCCTTAGCACCGTGTTGCACTGCAGGTCGATTACCTCCATCTGGAGCTCGTCGGGCACGCTGTCAATCTTGGTGGAGAATGGGGAGCTGAACAGGGTGAGTTCGTTCTCCCAGGCCTTGAAAAACCCCACCAGCCGCTTCTGGAACTCGGTCTTCAGTTCCACGATCTTGGGGATATAATTGAGCCCATCGCTATCGCTCTGGGAAACCGATTTCAGTGTGGGGAAGTGGGCCAGGTTGTTCTTGGCCAGGTGAGTCTCCCAGAGACACAGTTTTGCTAGGAAGGCGCGGATGAAGTCATACATCTGTGTCACCATCTGTGAATGACCTTGGAGGGAGGCGTCTAGAGTGTTGAGATGCGTTGTTATGTCCACGAGGTAAGCCAAGTCCAGGATCTGGTCCTGGGAGCTGAGCTGGGGCATAGGTTTGCCCCGGGAAGACATGAACAAGTCTATTTCCTCCAGGGATTCGAAAAACCTCCTGAGGACCAGCCCCCTGCCCAGCCACTTGAGGGACGTGTGGTACAGCAGGCTGCCGTACTGGCTGTCCAGCTCGTAGAGCAGTGTCGTGAAGTCACCATGGTTCATGCCACGGGAGCAGATACAGTTCACCGAGTCCACCACTACGTCCATGACGTGGCCCATCCTTAACTTCTGGGCACACAGCCACTCGGGGTGAATGATACAGCACACGGACTTGAGGTCAGCTCCCTTG